ACAACAAAAAATATTAAAAATAATATCGAACTACCTCGTAATAATGTTGTCATAGTGCTACTATCTTGATTTATTAAAGGATATTTCGTTTTCGGTTTTCTTGTTGTTGATGCAGTTTTGGGTTTTTGTTGATAATTATAGCGATTTCCACTACGATCATCATATGTTGGTCGCCAATAGTATCCATCACGATCATCAACATACTCATCAGTTGAATCGTCATCAATGACAGTTGATGGTCGTTGTAAACTTAGATCATCATCATTTACAATTTTCATTCGTTGAGTTGTTGTTGTTGTTGTTGTTTTTCTACTAATAATTTTTGGTTTTGTTGCTTGTGTTGTTGTCGTAGTTGTTGCTTTTTGTCGATCAGCTATCCATTGTTGTTCTAATGCTAATAAATGGTCTTGAAAGTTATTATCATCATCACTTGATGATACTGATCCAGTTTGTTCGGTTTCTAAATTTGTATGATCTTGTTGTTGATGTTGAATTAATGTTTGAAATAAATGATACCATGCTTCAGGACCTTTAGTTTCTTCTAAATATTCTTTTAATTTTTGTAATCTTGACACACGTTCTTGTGTATCAAGATCAATATTATAGAAATATGATGACGATGTTAAATTTTTATCTTGTTTTCCACCTGAAAGAATATTTTCAATATCATTTTTAGACGAAATGAAAAAGAAGACAAATATTTAAACTCATGCCTTCACGATTTTTTGATTTGCTTTTTGATAATGATGATTTTGTACTCGTTATTTTTCCTATACTTTTCATTGTTGTTGTTGATGATGCTATTAATTGATCTTCATCTAATACATCATCAAAATTTTCATCAATATCATTATTCCCATCACTATCAATATCATTCGAAGGTTTCTTTCGATTTTCTTGTTGTGTACGTTGATGAAGAGTAAATTCTAATAGAGATGATCAAAAAGAATTCAAATAATCACAATAACAAAATAACAATCACAATGACAATACGACAATATGGACAACATATATCTATACATATATATATACCCTGTGAACACATTGCTTCATCAATACCCGATGGACAATCTTCATATGAATTACAAACATCATAATATGGAATACAACTTCCATCACGACAAGAAAATTCTATACTTCGACATGTTGTAGCTACATATATATATATATATCAATCGAATATTATTATTATTATTATTATTATATTTTTTTTTCTTTTAATAAATCAAAAATAATATAGAACTTACA